ATAAATAAATAAATAAATAAAAAAGGAAAGAAAACCAGTCATATCTTCTAAGTAGGCAACATTTGACTGTTTTCAGCAATTACTAAGACAAGGTATGATTTGTGACTAAACACTTGAGAGACAAAACACATCAGTATCTGAGTGGGTCATGAATCAGCATCCCACTCCTCATTACTCTACAATTTCCTGGTTTCAGGAGTAACAGCTTTACTTTTGGAAATACAGTGAGTATCTTAAGGAGTAGCAAACACCTTCAATGAAGCAAACCTGCATTCATCACCATTTCTGGTACAATGTGAGACCACGTGTACCCTAATTAGAAAGGCAGGGCTAGAAAAGACTTGAAGAAATAAGACTACTCAATATTCTTCAATCTATAATTCCTGATACAGAAACTTCCCACAATGGAGCATTCCCAAGCCGTATTAACTACCTTTACCACTGACACAATGAAGAGCTTTCTAGGCCAAAAACCAAACCAAACCAAAAATAAAAAGCCAAACCCAAAACATAATGAGACTATCCACCATGTACGTGGCAGGCTTCAGTAGACTGTTGTTTGTCTTTTCACTGGAAGAACCAAATGCAGACCAGTTGGTGGAAGTATTCCAGCCTCTATAAAGGACCAGATATCTTATCCCCCTGAAGTCACTATATCTCAGTAGATATCAAACTGAACTTGCAAGTTTCCATTAATCTGGTTACTGCCTGATGCCAACTCATGCAACATTCAAGATTATCTTTATCCTATTGAGTAGCATACCCAAGTACTAGTAAGGATCTTCTCAGATGATTCTTTGTCTGTTTCAAGGTACCACAGAAGATGACTTTTTTTTTTTTTTTAGCATTACTATGATGTTTCTCCTTGTTTTTACCACATATTGGTAAAATCATGGATAAATATATGCAACATAGCTTGGATGAAGTGACATGGGAGGTTCAAGTGAAGATATGGCTTGACAGGTTGTTGAAAAGAGGAGGGATTCACCTGAGGAGACTTCTCCCCAAGATATCCTTAACTCTGAGAAGACATGCATTCACTTCTTAAACAGGGAAAGCTTCATTCAGCGTAATTCCCTTTACATGCTAGTAAGCACAGAAAAGGAATGGCACACAGTATTTTGGAATGTGCCTTATAACACAGAGCATCCTAACCACCTCCTGTCAAAGGCCGTCAAGTAAGCAGCATTCAGACTGAATGTTTCAGCCCAAGTTTTATGTTCATTTAATACCTTGCATCTCTGAATAGCAGAGACACCTTCAGCAGAGTATTGTATTAAAAGTCTAGTATAAAATAACAAGTTGTAATCTATTAACACTCATATTAGTGTAGTTAGACAATTTGTTAAACAAACAAAAAAATGCACAAGGAAAATATAACAGAAGCAGCTTTGTCACACTGCCAAAAAGGGCTAGAAGCTGTTTTTCAGAAAGAAGCATGTGTCACAGGCATGGCCACAAAGATAAAGGAATGTATGATTTTGCATACATCACATATATATATATATATATATATAGCTGCGGTAGTATTTATATGCACAATTTGTTTGAACTGCAAGTTACTTGAACACTGTTCTGTAGCATGATCCAGAGAACTCAACCTCAAGAATACGCCCTTCTTACTGACCACAATAACTGCTATTTGGACATGACAAATTTTACAGACAACAAACTTTAAAGATGCCTAGACCCAACGTCTTAGATGTAATTAACAGTATTAATATGACACAATATATATCGTCTTACAGCTGGATAATTAATACAGTGAATTTAATCTCATTAATGGTTAAATATAGGGCTATCTTCATCATCAACTCTGTATTCACCCTTCTTGGATTCCTGTCATATCTCTCCTGCCATTCACCCATTATATTTTTTCACATGCTACCCAACAGTTTTCTTTCCTTCTGAGCTTTGCTGTTCAACCACACAGTTCTCTACCTTTATTTCCTATCTTAATATTATCTGGTTACTTTACTCCAGCAACAGCCACGGTCTTATTAGCAAATTATCTTCCTGCTATAATCACAGTCCTATGTATTATCATCAGGTATTTCCCAGACCAGAGTCAGAAAGCATTTACTGGTACAAATTTTGCACTATGTAATTAGAAATGAATGATTAATTAAAACTATTTTCAAAGATCTTCCATATTTGATGATACTTATTCACTGTCTTCAAGGTGACTATACCCTTTGTAATGGGTATGAAGATGCTTATACAATGTCAGAAATGCAAAAATGTTTTAAGTGTTAGCCCACACAGAACTCTAAATAATATGTTTGGTTTACAAACCCACCTTGAATGCCTCACAGTTCTATAGGCAGTGGGAAGTGCGTGCTTTGCTTTTGAATGTGATCTAGATCTGGACTTAGATGATGAATGATACTTGAATGGTGATCGAGATCTTGTCCGAGATCTTTTCTTGTGTTTTTTTCTTTTCTTTTCCCTTTCTTCATCCCTAGGAGGATCTTTGCTTTTGCTTGAAGGCCTTTCTGCTTGTTTAACTTCTAACGTGGGTAAAGTTCTGACTGCAGTCACAGGACACGGTATACTATTGACACTCTGGAATAAAAGGAAAACAAAGAACAGTGTTCAGCTTTTAAAGTTGCATGCAAATTTTTAATACGAGAAAGTCCTGTAAGTGTGGATAACGCATAAGCATCTCTAGTCTTTTATAATAAACAGAGGGCTACATCTACTCCTGGGCATCCCACGTACACGCACATTATGGCAAAGAAACTTAAAATATCCTGCTCAGTAGTCTTCCCAATATACAATACAGTTTTTTTGCAGAAATGCTGGATAACAAGTACAACAACAGCAAGGAAAATAATAGCTAACAATCACTTTACATTTTATTACTCATGAAAGTGTGTGAGAAATAAATCCGTCTTAAGAAAGTAGTTGTTAAATCAAAACCAATGTAACCTCCCATGAATGCTTTAAAACCTCAGAGTGATGCATCAGTATTATGTAAAGCGTGCGTACGTAAGGCTGACATCTTCAAAAACGCGCATTTAGTGGTGTTTAATGTAGACCTCACAATTCCCCAGAGATAGGTATGCAAGTTGGGATATGCATGCTAAGACTGTCAGCTTAACGAGGACATAGTTCTGAAGTTTTCATCTTTAGTTTTTGGAAGAAACATCTTCTAAAAACAGGTATTATCAGATATCTCTTCATCTATTTATCCCTTTTTTAAAAAGGGGATAAACTCGAAAATACAATCAGGAACTACTAACATTCAAAGTTAAGTTTTAAAGTCACTTTCATCCCTGAACTGTGCTGTTTAGGGACATTCAAAGCTAAGTTTTAAAGCCACTTTCATCCCTGAACTGTGCTGTTTAGGTTATAACCTCAAAGAAAACAGCAAAATGAATTAGTGCCGATACAAATTATTTCTGTACTTTGCAAAATAAACGTTTTGCATATAAAGGGTTGGTAAGATCACAAAAGTCATTAATCTCAAGGACAGAACAGGTCTGGGCACAATTCATGCTCAGTGAGTAATTCTGACTGCAGTCAGTTAAGCAAAACATACCATACTCCAAGAAACTTTCACATTATCAGCTTGTACCTGAGAGAATTACGCTCAATACCTTGTTTAGAACAATTCAAGTACAAAACATACCATACTCCAAGAAACATTCAAATTATCAGCTTGTACCTGAGAGAATTATGCTCAATACCTTGTTTAGAACAATTCAAGTCAGGCACTATAGAGATGATCCTCATTTCAAAGCCTGTCATTCCCCCAGCTGCCATTTCAAGGCAACTGGAGACATCAGTTTGCCTCTGTCATATTTTCTGCTCCACCTGGTCTGACACTTTCACCATCTGATACAAGGATGCTTACCGTGATCAGAATAAAAAGTAACTCATTAAAACCTGAAATAACTAAATTAGAAACAGGTGGTCTTCTTTCTTTTTACCCTCCTCCCACTGTTGAATATGTCAAGGCAATACTTAACCACATTTGACTAATCTGAAATGCAGCTTTGCTTCAAGTTAAAAAGCCATGACACTTTTCTGAGCTTTAACTGATAACTGCGATCACAATATTTGCAAAAAATAGCAATACAGGAATATTAAATTAGTTTGCTTCAAGGATTATGAACATTTTATAGCGTGATCATCACAGTGACTTTACCAGAGGCCCCCTCCAATTTCACTAACTTCACAATCCATGTGTTATTGCAGACACCTCACCTCCAAACTTTAGAGTTTCCTAAGAGATCACTGCAGCTGCCTTCTGTTCCTTGACAATGTTATTCATCTCTTTATACAGTACCTTAGTCTTTGCTTTGAACGCTACTGAATACGTAATAGACCAGTTTGCCTTGAAGTAGACACCTCTAATAGCTTGAAACAAAATAGCTGAAGGCAAAGTAGAGTTTAGAGAAAAACAAGAGAGGGAAGAAAAAAACAATGGTTTTCAGTGCCCAAGTTCATCTGGCCACATAAAACACAAGCTAACACACCACTGCCAGAAAGGAAGTTAATAAATGAATGACACATTTACTGTTAGCTCACACCTAGAGATTCTCTCAGCAATCAGAACAAAGAACCCCACAAGGCTAAGCAGCCCTAGGTATCCAACAAAGGGATCAGATGCTGGGACCATGGGCTCTCCTTGACTTTCAGGATGCTAACACCAAGAGTGACAGCGCTGTCCAGATATCTCTGGGAGAAGCAGAGCTGCAGGCTGGCTGCTGTAGATTCAGACACCACTGCTTCAGGTTACTAATGAATCATGTTCGGAAAGCCATAAAGAATTAACTTTACCTACCCCCAGGTGAATACGTAGGTCCTGGAGAATAAGACAACAGCTAACACACAGGGAGAAGTCACCTACCCATCCAAACCTACACAACGCACCGCTGTGACAGGAGCAAATCACTAGCAAAACAACCCGATTCACCATCAGAGCAGAACAGAGAGCTCAGTGGAAGAACTTAATGCCAGTAAGTTGCCAGGCCACTAGGTGTATAAATAATGCTGCTGAATAAAAATATTTGGGGGGCGGGGGCAGGGGGGGAAGAAGCTGTCAGTGGTTTGTGTTTTTACTAGTGAAAGCTGATCCAGGCAAACTAAGATATCGGGAACTAAATTCAGAGGTATGAATGCAGGGAAAAAACAATGAATAAAAAAATCAAAGCAAGCACAGATACTGGGACATTATCAAACGTTTCCTACAGGCAGAAACATTCTGTTTTACTGACCAGGCTCCATAAATCTGCAGGCCAGTAGAACAGTGTTTTGGAAAGCACAGCAACAAACTGGTTACCTGATGAATTTTATTATGCATCTCAAGGGATGACAGATTTAAGCTCTTGGAGAGCTCTTCTAAGAAGTTACACTGCAAACATTCAGATAGCATTCAACGAATGTCACTTCTTTGTCCATTTTGGGTAACAGCACATTTTTTTGTCCCTTATTAAATGCTAGTGTCAGACAATTTCACTGGCAGAGTTATTTTTCAGTGTTGTATTTGCATGACTGAAACAAATCGGAATAAAATAATGCTTCCTACAGTAAACATTTGGTATAAAAAAATGTTTCAGAGATACCTTTGTGGAAAACAAAGATGATTTAACAACCCTTGTTTAGCAAGAATGGGTTAGGAAAGAGCTCTGTATCAGGAAGAATTTACAGCTCTATGAGAACAGAAAATGAACACTTCGGTTCATTACAAGACATTTGCATATTTGCAGTATTAGACCAGAACACACATTAGTTATCGTGGGGTTACGTTACTTAATCAAAACGCAAAGCCAACATCAGAAGTGAAGTAAAAGGTGCTTATTGCAACAGAACAAAACACTAGCATTGCTCCTGGCAGAAACAAAATCAACCGGTAAAGAACATTATCAATAATATTACTAACACTTTTACAACTGGCTAATATTTGTTCGGTTCCGAACAGCTGAATTTTGCAGTAATTTGAGTTCCACGCTAGATTAAAATTGGAAGGAGTGAAGAATGCCAGAACTGTGAAGAGTTAGTAATTCTTTTACTTCAAGAAAATCTGAAAATACTCCAGATTCTTTTCTACCACTGTACCTTTTTTTACCACCAGTTCCCCAAAGCTTACAGTGAAGCATTCCCTGGTTGAGAATGAATAAGCAACTGTCTACCAGCGATGGAAGTGTATGATTGCTCGCTGCATCAAAACAAGCAGTTACTGCTTTCAGAGGAGTTTGTCAGTCCCAGCCTCAACAAATTGGCCCAAAATGATTCAACAGAAGTGATAAAAACACTTCCTATAGATTAAGTTCCTACAGAACAAATTAATACTTAATATTCAAAGACTCAACAGTTCTATCAGGGTTTAGCTGCTGCACTGAAACATAGCTATTAACAGTGCACTGACTGCAATAAGTTCTTCAAAAACAGACAGAAATTTGCGTTCTCAGTTTTGAAGGGTCAACTGTAAAGAAATTAGTGGCTGTGAATCTGTTTGCTGTATGGATCAACATGCCTTTGTATCTTGAGTACTCTGAAGACTAAAAATCAAGGCATAAGAACATTCTTAGCTCCCTCACCTATATTAATTAAGATGGTAGTTCCTGATATTTACCTTTTTCGCCCCCATTAAATATTTATTAAAATATTTACAGTATAAGGAATTACACCTCTCATGTAGTTTTTAATAGTCGGGTTCTTGCAATTAAAAAAGTTCCAAATGCTAGCAAGCTATCCTCCCCCTAAATGCCACATCATGATGTGACATTCTAGGTTTTTATCCATCCTTTTGAAAAAGCAATATAAGGGAAATTTACAAACATTCACATACACACCCCTTTCCATGCTAAACAGAAAATACAGATACCCATATTCTGAAAAAAAAAGTAAAGTGAGAAATGAATGGCCTTGAAATATTCTAAAGCATTTTTCTTTAAATACTTATTGGATGTTTTTTATTGGAAAATTACATTTTGCTCACAAATTAACATTAAGAAAATACACAGACATAAAATTATGTTCCAAATTATGTTCCATTACTATTCCAAAGAGGCATGCAGTAATATCCACAGCCCCTTGCTAAAAAAGTAGGATCAACTACAGCAGTACGAAAGATGTACACCATCTGCAGTTGTTGATTACCCTGTTATGACTGTCAAAACATGAATAGCATCTTATTTTTAAACAGGGTACATTTCTATTTCACTCATAAATAGACTACTCTTCACAGAAAAAAAAAAATTGTCACATACAGGACAAAAGTAAGGACAAGCCATCTAAAGAAACAAATGATAAAACAGGGCTTCAAACAGGGAAGATGAAAGAGCCAAAAGAAGTTAAGGTTTGCTTTGTGCTATAGAATCTTTATATGCAGAGGCACAATGGCAGATGACATTTGGGACAAGCCATTAAAATAGAGTTACTTTCAAATCATATGCTTGTCTGTTTTTGCAGCATTGTGATTGCGGATTTCTCTCCTTGTTTAAATTGGATACTCTGGTTTATACCGATAACAGTTTGGGTATAACCAACAGTCTTTCACATGCATATCAAAGTATTATCACCCCTAAAGCATTTCTGACACAGGATAAAACATGAGAGAATAGCAGAATAATCTGTATTACAAACCCATCAGGTGCACTATTAGTTAAATGTTAATGGTCACTTTTATGACCATTTTCTTTGACAAAAAATGCAGGTCTGCAGGCCTTCTTCTGACAAGGACAGCAGGGAGGGGGCTTTACCTAAACAAATTATATTTATCAAAAGTTTTTGCTGGAAGCAATGATTTGGCAGCTTAGATTTTCCCTCTCCAAGACTCCTATACCCTGCTACCATTATCAACCACAATTAACAAAAACATCAAGCAAGTGTTCACCAGCAAGACACTGAACCATGCCAGTGTTATTCTGTGAGGCTCGGCTGCACACAGACGGACAGCCACAGCTCCGTAAGAGATTCTTTTCCTTTTTCAACCTTTTGCTCCCAGATGCACCTAAGAACAACGCTGCCCAGATGACAGGGTTAGGAATAACAGTTTTGAACTGGCACATTTGCAGACAAACATTTTAACCCATGAAAAACGTGGAAAATATGTTACAGATCTACAACATCAAGCATACTGTATCAAGGCCTACTACCAAGGACGGTACTTGCATTCAGGTTTCAACTTGTGCCAAAAGCCAGCACATTTGCTTTATTAAACTAAAAAAAACCCAAACCAAACCCAGAAAAACAAACCAGACCAAACATACCATCTTAACGTGAGCTCTCCTAATGCCTACAGGCTTTATGGGAACACGCGCAACTAGCCTTCATTCTACTTATATGTAAACATATATAAATGTCATCTTAATTTTAAAAATTTAAATTAATTTTAATTACTTTGGAATAAGGTTTGCATTTCAGATTATAAACACTTTATTTGTTTAAAAATAAAAAGGCACTTCAGTGCAGCACTCCACATAACCTGGTGTACTTCAGCTCTGTATATCTAGAACTGCAGATTTTAAAACTAGAGATGGTTCACTATTGCAGGCCAAAGAACCCAAGTTCTTTGCAGAATGATTGCAACTTCTTTTTGCTGAAACACTACCTGACAGATGTGCCACGTGGCATAATTTTCTTGTTACAAAAGTGTTTATGTGAATTATAGATGTCAACACAAGAAGCGAGATGCCACCCAGTTACTGTCAACCCGTGTCCCCAAAAAGGGCAGAGACTTCCCTACCTACAACCTCACTGGTAGCTGATCAGTTTTGGAAATTATGCTGACCTACATGTTTTCCAAGTACTGGTTTGAGGAAATATTACGCCTGACTGTACTGTTGTGGTGCCTGCAAGAACGGTGAGGAGCCACTTGTGAAAAGCAGTGCTGCTTGATTGCTCAAGCTCATTTGCCAGCCCTTTGTTCCTCTTGCTTGATTTCACTCTAAGGAAAAACAGGAAACCACATAAAAAAAATAATTCCGCTATGGAAAGAGTAGATCTGACTATTTTTAAGATTAAGGTGAAGCCAAAAAAGCTTAAAAGCGCAATGTTCTGTGGTATCGACTGTCCTTTACATGCTGTTAGGGGAATACATTTTGTTCAAAGGTATAAAATATATTCAGTACCAGCATTTCTCTCAAGAAATTCTAGATATCAGGAAAATCTGACAGAGGTCAAGGCAGCTTTGCTCCTTTTATGCATTTCTACACAGCGTGATAAGCAGGTTTTCAGCACAGTGTCTACACATAAACAGCATTACTAGTTTTCACACAGTTATTAGGCAGGGACAACCTCATGGGAATTCTCAACTCCTCTTCATGCTCTATTACACATCACAGTCATTACTTCATATTTTGAGATGCATTTTAAGCTACAAAAAATGAGTCCACTACATTAACTCTATGACTATTGCATATCAATCGTTGTTTCCTGGACTCCTCATTGGATGCTCCTTCTCCAAAAAGGGAGATGAAATACGTTAAGTGACATTTTTGGTGAACTTAAATATTTAATTTTTTGTCTTTGTTTACTAAATTTCCCCAATTAGTTCCACTGACCAAATGACAATATCTCTCTTAGGACTTTCTTTATAGACTTTTTTTTTTAAATTACAGCCCCTGTAGTTTTTCTTGTTACTTTTGCAATCAGTGTTTTTAAATGTATCTTTTTGTTTCTAAAACTTGACTGAAAAAGCTTAAAAAACCCCTGTGCTATGCATTTATTTATAAACTGATTCAGACATCACAACGCAGCTGACTGGATTCTCAGTGTATATGCAACTGAGGTTAACAAGTCTGCAATATGATTTCACTTTTCCCTATAAAATTTTTTGAATCAAATGGGCTGTTATAAATAGGTAAACCAGGCAAGGAGAGCAAAATGCAGATTATGCATTGGAACAAATGTAGATGGAAGCTTTTTCAAATACAGCAAACGGAAAGACAACAGCTTGAAAAACATTCATGATTCAAAATAATTTTTTATATGCAAAACCTATAGGCATACATCTATAAAACCAGATATAAATGTGTCAATAAGCCAACTACACTTAGGAGGAATATTATTTCCAAATACATTGTGGTACTTTAGACTGTTCGTTAACACAGTACTAGCACTCCCAACACAAAAGTCAATTTTATTTCAAAAAGCAAGGTCACATCAGTAACATTTAAATATATATTTGAAATTCTAAATAAACCCTTTTATAAAGAAAGCATCTCTAAACCCTTCTATTGGTAAGAAGCAGTGAACTGGTCGCTTTAAAGTTCTTTAAAAACACTATTTTTTTGTGCAAGAAAAAAGAGATGCCTCCTCTGAAACCATACCTATGTGGGAGAAGTAAAAAAAAGTGGTGAGGTTTTTGTTGAGAAGTTCACTTCCCTGTTAGTAAGTTCAGCTTAGAACTTCAGTACGTTCAAATGTGAGTGAGGACACTCACCTGCTCTTCTCAGAAAGAGTCTGCTGCTATTGAAGAGTTACTGGTTATTTCAGACATTCTCTTAAAGAGAAATATCAAAAGAACCTTAGCTTAGAAACATCTATGCCCTTGACAAATCCCCTTGAGGAGAGCAGAACTGCAAGTCTGGGAGTTTTGCATTGTCATTGCCTCTTTGCATTAACTCTTCAATATCTAACTGGAATCAAGTACTGAACGCTTCTGCCAACCAGGGAAAATCTGTTAGCAGTAGCAATGAGAATCCCAAACAGGATCTCTTTTGGGATGTGACCACGCTCAACTCAGGTATCTGCTACTCTGTGATGACATGGATCACCTCAACTGCAAGTCTGTCTCTTTCAATTGTCTGTTCTCTTGGAAGTGTTTTGAGGTGTAATTCATGACTTATTTTGAAAAATCAAGAACTGGGCAATGAATTACTTGTTAGATACTGGAATTCTTTCTGTGGGAAAGAACATGATGGAAAGCCATGTCATTCATTCCTGCAACCAATCTGTCACAATAAGAATCTGATATTTTCTATCAATATCCAGATATTAAGTTTTGCTTGCTTAATGCAACCAAAGGTGATTTACTGGCTTTACTTTAAAAACCATATCCTTATCACAAACAAAATCTTTTACAAAAAACTCCCATACTAAACTTGGGCCTAAAACAAAGAGTAAAACGTCCTAGCATTCTAAGCTTTTAAAGAGTTTATATTAAATACTCAACTAACACAAATATGATGAAGAACAATAATCAATATACAGCCTAGTTTTCTCCACCTATGTATTTGTTTTCTTGCTTAAGGATGTCCCAGCTAAAAACTTTAGAATTACATAGATCAGTTCACTAACTATTAATCTCAGCTTCATGCCAGTTAAGTTAATAAAAATCAAACAACAAAACCTAGCAGAAGAGATGCAAAATAAGTCTTAAAGTAAACTCAGTTGCCTGTGAATAATTTCTGAACTTGAAGATGTCTACTCACATCAAAACACACATTAAATAAGTAAATATCAAAACAGACTTTCAAATCCTCTTGAAAGGTAAGCGTTCTAATTCATGGACCACCAGAGTGTAGAGTTAAATTTGCAAACTCATTTTCCTTTCTGTAATTGGCTAACTGACCTCTGAACTATGCATCATATTTCTCTAGAGTTCTTTAATAACAGATGAGAGACATATATAAGATAATTGAAAAATATTAATGGTGTTTAAAATTCAAATTTCTCCCCATTTAGAAAAGCTTCTATCTCTTCAGTCAACTTCATAACATACTGTCAGATTCATACTCCATATAGGTAAGCTTTCCACTCTCTTTACGGTCAAGAGAAATTTATTTCCTGCTTACCTCATTACTGATGGAATTCTCTTCAATTTTCTCAGTTTCTGCCTCTGCCAAAGGGTTTTTCAGGGTCTGCAAGAACAGTGCAGCTTTCCTTTTGCGCTCTGCTTGTAGCTGCTTTTCTTTTGACTCTTTGGAGGCCTGTGCAAGCTTCTCTCTTGCTGCAGCTGCTAGTCTATCCTCTAGTTTCTGCTTTGCTAAGACAATTAAGCATAAAGTTTAGAGTGAGTCAAGAATTTAGGTTTCCTTGAAACAAACACACACACCCCAACACAAACAACCAAACAGCCCCTCCAACCATTCTCAAACCTTTCTAATGCAAAGACGCAATAAGGACATATCAGCTTGAAATGATGAAATTCCAAGCATCTTAATTCATAGATATATCATTTGCTCGACGAAAAGCAGTATGGGTGAAGTAAAAATTTTTAAGCTTAAAGAAAATGACATGAAAATCTAATCCTGAAAATTCTGGATAGTTCACAGAATCACAGAATGTTAGAGA